GCAGCCCAGGTCCAGGTTGAGCTGTTGTTCAGCATATTAGCTGTAGAGGGCAGTGTCACTGGCCCTCATATGTGGCATCAGTACCAGAGCCCTCTGGCATCCCAAGCCAGCTCTTAACCAACACGCCACTCGGCCAGCCCTCAAGGTGTATTTTTAATGAGAGTGAACATATAATTTACTTTCCAAACTGGAATTTTTTTTTTTAAGAGTGAAAGGGAAAGCTTGTTTAAAAATTATGCAGAGCTATAGGCAGTAACTGGAACCGTCCTAGGCAAACTGGGACAAATGGTCACCTGAATTCCAACTTGATTAACATACACTTTTGCCTTGTCTTAAAAAAATTCAAGGTTGCATACAAAATATATGCAATTGATTTTGTTGTTGGTTGTTGCGGGGGGAGGTGTCTTAATGGGAAAATAATAGGGCGCGCTGAGGGTGATAGATCATGATTATGAAGCAAGAACCAAGAAGCTTCTCCAAATATCTAGGAATGGAGTACAGTTTCACAACTACGTTCTGAGATTTAGATGTGCAGAGGATTTAAAGAATCCTCCTCTTTGAATGGTGAAGATGGTGGCTAAGAGGTGTAAGGGAGAAAAAAATGGAATGGTCTGAGCAAGAAGTACCTTGGCCAATTCACTTTCACTACCATCCTCAAAAAGGGAGAAGAGAGAGAAAAGAAAATGGGTACCACACCAGTGTTGACTATGGTGACTAAAGGATGATGGGATGATTTTGGTCTGGCAGTTTACACATTCCCTATAACTTCCTCGCCTCTGCTGCTGACCTTGATATATGAATGGTATCAGTCATAGTCATTCTTCCATCTTAGCTAAACAAACAAGAGCCATAAAAACATAAAAAGCAGCTGGTAAGAAAAGTATGGACCAGGCTAGAAGTAAGAAATGGTTCTGTTTCAGCTCCACCCGGCAGAGGTGTGGCATGGTTAAGTTCTTTGAGCATTGTTATTTCAAGACCCTGATGGCAATGACATGGAGCTGGTGAGAAGTGGATTTCCCCTGTAGTGTGAAGGATGAAGCAGAAATCCTTACTATGGGGGAGACCAGATGAGAACCCATTGAAGTGTTCTAGATGATGTTCTGACTCAAGGCGGAGGAAGCAGGGAGGAAAGGTTAATTTTGAGGAAGCTAGGAGATGGACTGGACAGGATTTGTTAACTAGTTGTGAAAGAGCATTGTTTCTTTATGCAAAATCATGCTGTGTTCCAACTGAAACCCTTCTGCTTCTGGAGTCATGGAGTCATGCAGTCCTCCAGTGAGAACAGCAGTTCTCACTATGATGGCAGGTAACCACCGTGGAGGTGGCACTGCCATAACTCTGGTGTCATGAAGGAAGAGGGAAGATGAAAGTAGAAGACAGGTGGGTTCGAGTGTCCCTATTAACAAGTGAAAGTCCAAGATCCTTACCATCCAGTGTTGGCAGGTGGAGACCTCCAGGTACTGCAGGAGGACTTAGACTCCTGATTTCCACTACTGTTTGCATGTCAGGTGTGCTCCTAGTAAGTGTAGTGTAAGCCTGGGCAGTTGGTTTTTTGTTTGTTTGTTTCTTTGTTATTTGTAATGCAAGTGCCTGACTTGAGCTTTGATTGCTGAGGCATCCACTTCAAAAAGATGTCTACTCCAAAGCCAGCTATGTTGGCCAACCACAGGACTAGATGAACAGCCAGGTTGCCTCCCCGCACTGTGGCTCCTTTGTTTTAGAGATTTTGGTTGATTTCAATAGCTAACCATTTGGGCCACTTGTTTCCTGTATGTTTTTTTCTTCCTGTGCTTTAAATTACTCTCTTATGTTAAGAGTGAGCCCTAAAATCCTAGCTCTCCACTCTCGAGCCCAATACAAGCAGAATCCTAGCCTCATGCACATGTTCTCTCTCTCTACCCAAGGTCTCACTGTGTGGCCTGAGGTATAATTTCCAGTTCCTGTGAGTAATGAACCTTTCTTTTTTCAAAGTTTCCTGATGGTTATTGCTGAAGGGCATCTTGCAATCATAATAAAAGCCACAAGGACCAGTCCAACCACAACATTGTTTATTGATAGGCTGTACTAGCACAAAACAGTAAAACATTTATAAATCAGGAACTCTCTTTTCCTAGTGTGTCTATGTGATTGATACCAGACTGGTGGTATCTTGGTACTGATTTGAAAGACTGCTTTTTTTTTTTTTCCTCCAAAAAAAAGTTATTGTCTTACTCTTTCAACTAATGTACCTTATGACTTGGAACATGGTATTTCCAATAAGTGAGGTCCAATGTTTGTGCTTTTAGAAAAATAAATACTGTGGAACATAAGATCATAACTCTAAATAAACATGGTAAATGAAAGAGGGATCAAGCAAAAGAGGTGGATTAGCATAAATTTAGGATGATACATTGGTGAGGCAAAATAAACTGTTCAAATAGATGATAAGTGCTGACTCTGGAAATATAACGACAATGACCAAAAAATGCCAGGGTCAGTTCCTCAAAAAAATTAAACATAAAATTACCACATGATTCAGCAATGCCACTTCTGTGTATATACCTAGAAGAATGGAAAGAAAGTATGGAATCAGATATTTGTACACCCATGTGCAGCATTAGTCACAATAGCCAAAAGGTGGAAGCAATCTAAATGTCCACCAACAAATGAATGGATAAACAAAATACGGCATATACATACAATGAAATATTACGGAGCCTTAAAAGAGAATGAGGGGCCGACCAAGAGGCACGATGGTTAAGAACTGGCTTGGGATGCCAGAGGGCCCCGGTTCGGATCCCACATATGAGGGCCAGTGACACTGCCCTCTACAGCTAAGATGCTGAACAACAGCTCAACCTGGAGCTGGGCTGCCATGAGTCGCCGGTGATGGCGTAGGCTGCAGCCCCTGCTGCAGTGGGTTGCCATGGGCTGCCATGTGTAGCCATCAGCCAGCATGAGCAGCCAGCTGCCACCGTGAGCGGCCGTCCAGAAGTCGGCGACTGATCTGCCTCACCCGAGAAGAGCGCAATGATGGTGCCAACTTGGGCCAGTGAAGCAACGTTCTCCACAACTAGACTGAAGAACAAAAGGACAGCAACTTGTCTGTTCCCCTTCCCCCAATTCCCCAGCGCTGTTCCCATCTCCCAATTCCCCAATTAAATAAATCCTTAAAAAAAGAAAAAAGGTTAAAACAGCAAATTTTATGTTGCATATATTTTACCACAATAAAAAAAGTTTTAAAAAACTCTAGGGACCCACCTTCTGAGAATGTATAACAGACAGCTAATAAACCAGCAAGGTAGATCCAAAATTGAAATAAACTAGGGCATCTATACAAACTGAGACATGCAAAGGCATTTTCCCTAGCACTGGCCATGCTCTCTCTTTAGTTCTGGCAGATAATTATAGAGGGAGGATGGTGAGCATAAAATAAGGAAATAATAGGAACACACATGGTATAATGTGTTCTGAGCTTCTGAAATGTTTCTATCCAAGT